CTTGGGAATCAACAATTTAAAGAATCCGATTTTTGTCACTGAACATCTTTCCCCTGCAAACAAAGATCTACATGCAGCTGCTCGGCAGGTTAAGAAGGCAAAGAAGTACCAATTCCTTTGGGTTAGAAATGGGAAAATCTTTATGCGCAAAAATGAAACTTCTACCTATATACTTGTTAAAGATAAGCAGACTTTAGATAATCTGGAGTAACATTGTATTATTCTTTTATAAATATTATTTTGGCATGTAATGGAATTAATAAGCCTAAAATTCGCTAGTCTTAACATATATTATCAGAATGTTGGTGGTATGAAAACTAAAACTCATTCTTTCTACCGTAATGTCTGCTGTTCAAAATTCGACATAATAATTATCTCTGAAACCTGGCTGCGTGACGATTATTTTGACTCTGAGCTTTTTAGTGATGATTATACAGTGTACAGACGGGATAGGGGGACTACTGTGCACAGAAATAGGGATGACGGTGGTGGTGTCATGATAGCGGTGTCTAACAGATACCGCTCAAGGCTTTTTGTTTCGGACTATAATTTGACTGAAGATCTATGGATATCCATTGATTTAGACGCGCCAAGTTCCACTGGTATAAAACAATTAGTCATTTGTGCGGTGTACATTAGACCCCCTACCACCAAAATTACTCTTGATGATTTCCTTAAAAATTGTAATATGTTTTTTGATAAATGGGATTCCCCCATATTTATTGTTGGTGATTTTAACTTGAGAAAAATAACATGGTCTGAGCTTTATCAGACGGGTAAAGTTACTGGAATTACATCTTTGGAGCAGTCACTACTAAATTTTATAAATTTGAACAATCTGAAGCAACACAATCTTATAGTGAATAGCTACGGTAAGATTTTGGATCTCGTTTTGTCAAATGCATCCTGTACGGTTAATAAATCTTGTGAAGTTTTGTTGAACGCGCATTCGTTTCATCCTCCTCTTCACATCGTTCTTCCTCTGGTAGGTAAGGAGCAACTTATTTACAATGACCATCCTAGATTTAACTTTTATAACGCTGATTATACTTCGTTAAATAAATATTTAGCTAATTTTGATTGGGAGGAATTATTTGCATCATGTAAAGATGTTAACGAGATGATCTCTAATTTTTATACTTTCATTAATGAAACTATCCGTGATTTTGTTCCTATTACCAAACCTAAGAAAAAAAATTTTCCTTTCTGGTTTAGTAGACCACTGATCAGAATTCTTGCCGAAAAGGAAAATGTGCGCAGGCGATTCAAAAAATATAGAAATCCTAGAGATGAACTAGAGCTTAAATGTTTGAGTATGCGAAGCGAGAGGGTGGCTCGATTGAATTATAATGAGTACATCAGGTCCTTAGAAGCAAATATCACTAGAAATTGCAAATATTTTTGGTCTTACTATAAGCAAAAGAGGGGAGGTAAAAGTAATTATCCTGCTGCTATGAGTGATGGAAACACGTGTAGTTCGGATGGTGAAGAAATCTGCAACATGTTTGCTAGCCACTTTACATCAGTGTATGAAGATGATACTTCAATAGTCCACGGTAATGTTCAGAACCTTAGTACTGCTGATATTTTTGCAAACAACCATGACTCTTTTACAAGGATTTTTATTAACGAATCTGAAGTAATAAAGTTTTTCAAGTCATTAGATAAATCTAAAGGTGCCGGTCCTGATGGGATTCCCCCGGTTTTTATCTCAAATTGCGCCGAGACTCTAGCTTTTCCTTTAACTCGAATTTATAATGTCTCACTTAGCACCGGAATTTTCCCAACAGAATGGAAAATGGCCAAGGTAGTTCCAATCCATAAATCCGGGGACGCTGAACTAGTAGGAAATTATAGACCAATCTCAATTCTGTCGTCGTTTGCTAAGCTTTTGGAAGCCCTTGTTTGTCCATATATTCAAAATTATTTTAAAAAATACTTGTCCGATCACCAACATGGTTTCACTAAGGGCCGATCCACTTCTACTAACTTGGCGACCTTTGTAGAGGTAATTATTGGCAAGGTTGACTCGAGTGCGCAAGTTGATGTCATTTACACTGACTTCAGCAAGGCTTTCGATAAGGTTTCACATAGTGTTCTTGTAGAGAAGTTGACTATGTACGGTTTTGGTGGCACCATGTTGCAGTGGCTTGCATCTTACCTGAGAAATAGATATTTCTACGTGGTAGTAAATGGATTTGCTTCTGCAATATATAACATTACGTCTGGAGTCCCTCAAGGCTCTCATCTTGGTCCTATTCTCTTTAATGTATTTATAAACGATTTGCCAGGAGTTTTTAAATTTTCAACACCATTTTTGTATGCCGATGATCTTAAATTGGTTAAGGTAATCAATTCAATGACGGATTGTAAATTATTACAAAATGACCTTAACAATCTTAGCATATGGTGCAAATCTAATGGCATGTTTCTGAACACTGGCAAATGTTCATTTATTAAATTTACTCGTAGAATACATGTGTTTCCAGCAGTGTATACTTTAGAGGGCACCGTTCTTGCAGAGATGGACTGTGTAAGGGACCTGGGCGTCATATTTGACAAAAAACTAACTTTTAAGCCGCATATTGAGTCAACTATTAACAAAGCGTCCAGGATGCTAGGTTTTGTCTTGAGAAACGGAAAAATCTTTCGCAGTGCTAAGGTGAAAATACTTTTATACAACAGTTTAGTTAGGAGTGTACTTGAATATTGCAGTGTGGTATGGCGACCCCATTATGCTGTTAATTCATTGCACCTAGAACGTGTTCAAAAGCGCTTTTTATGGCATTTGTCTTTCTCTGCTGGGCTGTCAAAAAAAATTAAATCATACGACAAAAGACTTAAACATTTTAAAATTACTCCTCTTTCAAAGCGCAGAGAATTATTAGATATAGTTTTTCTTTATAAGCTCATTCACAATATGGTTGACTGCCCACAACTACTTGGTAATTTAAATTTTAGAATTCCCCCTAAACGTCCCAGATTTCGCATTAAGCCTTTTCACCCGCCACGTCGTAGAACAGTACTGGGTTCGAACTCCCCCGTGGCTCGAATGTCTGGTTTGTATAATGACTGCTCCAAACATGTGGATATTTTCTATGATTCACTCCCAGGGTTAAAAAACTCAATTGTACACTTTCTTAATAATAGATAGAAATAATATTTTTTGTTATTTAGGTAACAAACTTAAAAAGTAATATGTCTTGGTATTCATTGTTTTTATATTTTATATTGAGCATATGTTACACATTTAATTTTTTCGCATGTGGTGCTCACCTGTAATTGGTTAAGCAATTAGATTAAGCTTTTTCTCGATGTTGTCTAATGAATGAAATATTGTTGTAACTGTTGGTGTGCCTAATAAATAATAAAAAAAAAAAAAAAAAAAATGTCAGATATTTGAAACACGATTACAAAATATCTTTTTTATAAAAAAAAACAGACCTCAAAAATTCATCTATTTGCCAAGTTTCATTGGGTGAAATCCAATAAAAATAGAGTAATCACGTAAAATACGTACAAAGAAATACAGTGGAATTGATTACCTCCTTTTTTTGAAGTCGGTTGAAAATACATTTTTACGTAATAGTTGAAATACAAAATACGTATTTATATCTCAAATACATATTTCAATTATAAGTAATTCGAATACTGCCTTCATTGTAACCTAAGTACATTATAATTATAGAAATGGTAATTAACGTATTCTAAACTTAGAATAATAACGCATAGAATGATAGTTTCATATCAAATGAACTGTCACAAGTGAGGCAAAAATGAAATTCAAGTAGGCTAGTTTTAGTAGTAGGTTAATTTTCGGTTTTAGTGAATATTTATATAAAAATACAAGTTGAAACGCGTTACTTCTTTGTGGAATGTGATGTTAGTATCTATTTTATGTTTGTCTGACGTATTTTTACACTCATTTACCGCACATTTCTTCATTTTTAGCTAAAATTCTTGATCTGTTCGCGGTGCAAGTTGACCTTGAGCACTGAAGCCCGCCCGCTCGTGTAGGCCCATTGGGCGCGCTTCAATTTGCCTCACTTAGCGTGTGCGGACTAGGTTTCTATGCGTTATTATTCTAAGATTCTAAACTATAACAATAAAATAATTAAGTAAATAATCCTTTAACACATTTTTTATTCGTATTTCTAACATAAATAACTGACCTAACTACATAAATCAAATTATAATGCACCTTGTCCTCGCCTTACTTTCTCAAACTTCTATCTTAAAGCACAAAATTACTGAAATGCAAAAAATAGATTGTATATTACAAATTTTGCAGTCTGATTTCACATCACATTTCCTTCTTATTCACACACTGGCTTTTACCTATTCTTAAAGTCCATCCAAATTAAAACCCTTGATAAGAAATTTAAAATAAATAGAAAGTTTTGCCATCTCCTAAATAACCACTCTTTATAAGATACGAGTTTGAGAAGTAAGGCATCGTTGTAACCTACTATAGAATAAACAATTCAAAACTCGCAGATGCCGCAAGGTATGTACTTCTCTATAAGATTTTCGTAATAAGGCCAAAGAGCTTTGATGTCTGGCACATGCTCGCTCTTGGTGTAGAGGTCGTATTTGCTGGAAACACAGAAAACGCTTTATGAAATAATTTTTGTACAAGAGGGCAGAAATTTTAAGGACTCATCACACTTATCAGATAGGCTTGAGCCGGTCAGAACAATTATGTTTCCAGTCGATTATGTAAATACAACTTTTAAATATTTTATTATATTTTGACTTATTGGAAAACCAACGGCTATCTTACAGAATAAAAAGTGAAATAAAAATGGAGCCAATCGTAGGTCCTCACCAGACACAGATTAAGTTGATTAATGAGCATTGAATTATAACTATATAACTACTATCTGTACTATATACATTTACGTAACACTTAGTAATTACCTACTACACAAAAAACAAACCAATAATAAGACGCTTCACCGATGCAACACTAGTGTTAAAAAGGTCAATATCAACCTGCTTGGACAATTCTATAAGGAATTATTAACCATACGTATTTTCTAAGGTCAAGGTTTTTCAAAATCTATAGAAAATGTCTAGGTATTTAAAAAAATTACATAATGCATGGACTTGCGCGACCGCGCTCTCAAATCGCCAAGCGGTCGCTGCGCCGTTGTTGTCTCTGCGTGCACGCATTTAATTATATTTCGTCGCTTCATTCTCGATATAATGTTAACCAGGTCCTTTTAGAGTGGGAAGTAAGACTTATTAGGGAGTTTCAGGATCTTTATTTCTCATGGAGTATATAACCCGAAAGAGAGACGAAATGTCATTTAATTTGTTTGAAAACTATTCTGCCATATCAACTGCTCTCCGATTGGCTAGCCCGTGTTCGAAACAATTGACGGGTGTCGTCAAGGGTGTCGTCAACTGTTTCACTTCAAATCGACCAGTTAACTTGAGCTTTGCTATAACGGACGAAAATTACATATTTAATATTCAATTACCGATGAAATGTGATTCCGTTTGTTTTGTAATTAGATGTTTTGTTGTTTTTCCCACATCACCGAATAGTTATTAGGCATTGTTAGAGATATTATCTTTATTACAAGATATACAGAATATTTTTTGGAATATACGGAATATACGGAGACGTACACACAGGTCAGTAGTTGGCCTATCCATATTTCAGTGCAAACGAGAGTTGATATTTATAAGAGCTGTATCGCTAATGTGTTACGAGGTATATATGGCCCTTATTTCGTCTCTATTTCTGGTTATATACTCGATGTTACTTCTGATATGACGATGTCAAGGGACGGAGGGTGTTGATTATGTATTCGAATGAAGCGACCATGAAGCGACTCATATAATAGTGATCGAACTTCACTTCAAGCAGTTCGTTTGATCATGTATTATTTTTGTGAAATTACTCCACTAGTTTGTCATAATTATTAATACAAAAATCTGGCACGAATTTTCGTGTTCGAATCCAGCCGGATCGAAAGAATTTTTTGGACATGGACAGGCGTGTTGCTTACTACCAGGCGCGCAATCCGTCACTCAGTATTTTATTATTTAACTCATACAAATAGGTTTGTAACAGCCATTGGAATTTCGTAACACCTAAGGGCGCTTTTCCATAATGTCGTGACGACATGGTGACGACAGATAGTCGTGCAGCTTAAGGTGTCGTGTCTTGTGTATTTAAATGAAGTTGTTCCCACATAGAACAACACGATTAACAGTCGTTCACGACTTTTTTGACGACTGTCGTGAAAATGGGAAGAGCTAGAACGCCAGTCGTCCGAAGATAAATTAAACGTCACGATAGAAATGCCACAACAGATAATTGCAACTTCTAATGATTCTGTCGTGCAAACGAGAAGGCGGCTGCCGTGAACCGATAAATTTATTCGAACACGACAGTCGCTCAACAATAAAATAAACGTCCACGACACAGTCACGACAGATCACTTGTGCTAGATTAGGCGAGTATTTTCCCCACTTAGGATACTTTGAGGGGTCGCAGCGATAAAAAAGTGATCGGCGACTCGGTGATTTAGGCTGTGTTAGAAATAGGAAAAGGCGATTTTAGGCTATTTAATTTAATGTCTGGGGAATCACAAATTTTATTGGGGATTTTGTGGGATATTGGAGTTGTAATATAACTCATTTGGGGGTTTGAGTAGTTCGGCGTGTGGGGAATTGCCGCCGGACATTGGAAAATATGAACTCTTATTTCCCCAATTCTCCAATGTCCGGCAGCAAGCAGAATTGTAAAATTGTTTTTCTTCATTTTTAAGGATTTTATGGCTTAGGCAAATATCGGAACACTTTAGACGCGACAGTTGTCCAACGATAAATAAAACGGTACAACATAATGGGAACGCGCGCTATGACGTTAGATATTAATTTCTGGACCATGTGAACTGAATGTCATTCAGGTACATTTTTGTCTGACTTACTTGAACTCCAGTACCCATTTTAGGGTCTCTTCGTCCTTCTCATTGGTAAGGTGACGGTAGTCGCCTCCTGCATGCCACGGATAAAATGAATGATACCTGCAATTGTCAATTCATGCTCACAACTCTAGAACACGTGTAATGTACGTAACAAAAGGTCCGTCTACTCGTATATCTCACCGTGCGAAAACCATCAACTTTCGAAAAAACGTCGTCGCTAACGTCATGTTCATTTATTTTATTTTTAACCGAGGAGGTGGTTCTCAAATCGACTGCATATTTTTACTCCGGCATTTGTGAACCGATTTTGATGATTCTTTTTTTTTGTTGGAAAGAGGGTACCTCAGTATTGGTCCCATTTAAATTTGAAGAAAATATTCCACCTCTAAGAGTGGCAAACTCGGGAATGAATCCGGTTTCGCGCATTTTCCGGTAACCGATTTCAACTTGAAACTTGGCAAATAGATGTAATTTCACGAACATTTGAAGTCGGTGTTATTTTTATTTGTTATAATTATCTAAAGGTATAGTAGCATAACCTCTACTTTGCAATAAACTGGCACGTCGAAGAAGATTCACAACCCTCGGAAAACATGTGAAGTCTCCAACCCGCATTGAGCCAGCGTGGCGGACTATGACCTAAGCCCACGCCTCAGAGTACCCGTGCCCAGCAGTGGGAAATATAAATGGGTTAATGATGATCAATGGTCGGAAAAATGTGTTCCAAATCTATAGATTCATGTCATTGTGTAGATACAAATCTGACAATTTTTTATTCTTTGCTTTGGTAGAAGGTCTGTTATCTACTGCAATTTTTAAATGGCGCCTTTAGAATTACTTTAAAATCTAAGTTCGACTTCCTAGGTCAGTAGTTTTGTCCTATGTTACAGCAAAACCATGTCCGGAAATCCGAATTTGGAAAACAGTAGTTAGTTAAAATTTGGAAGTTTAAACAACACTATATCCATACATGTATCCATAGATTTGGAACAACTTTTTCCGACTATAGATAATGATGAAACATCGAGTATATAACCAGCAATAGAGACAAATGTCATTTAATTTCTTTGAAAACTATTCTGCCAAATCATTACGGTGACAACTGCGCTCCAATTGGCCAGTCCGAATTCCCGAAACAATTGACGGGTGTTGTCAATTGTTTCACTTCAAATCGAGCAGTTTAACATGAGCTTTGCTATAATGGACGAAAATTGAAAAATTACATATTTAATATTCAATTACTGATGAAATGTGATTCCGTTTTTCCCACGCTACTGAACGGAACAGCCCCCCTTTGTTAGAGATATTATCTTTATTACAATAAACAACACAACAACATTAAAACAACATTTTTGGAATATACGGAGACGTACACGCAGGTCAGTTGTTGGCGCTGTACTATTTCAGTTTTCTAATTTGTGATTTCATTGCAAACGAGAGAGATATTTATAGATATAAGGCCCATTTGCCTGATGAGTTGCCAGGGATGGATGGTCTTTACTTCGTCTCTATTTATGGTTATATATACTCGATGTGATGAAGTGACCTTTTTATAAAGCACACGCTTCGATTGATTCTGTATGATGCACTACGCGTTTCTACTGCTACACGCTCACCTGATCATGAGCAGTCCTTTCTCAGGAATCTTGGCGTTGTTGTGTTTCAGGAACTGGTAGAGGTATTCGTCGTGTGACCAGGAGATCAGCAGCTTCTCCAACCCGCAATGAGGTGAGTACATGCCGTATTTAGTGCTGGTAACAAAATATAATAATGCTATAAATGTGAATTACGATATGTTGTGAAGTCTGTGACTTAGTCGTTAGTATTCTGCTTCGTGAGAATTTCCGGTCAAACTTAGTAATAGTATAAGACAAATAGTGTAGCTCCATACAAACGATGGACCAATAGCTCAAAAGGACCGCTAAACGCGTTATAAGATAGCGTAGTCCGGTACGTAGTAACTATTGGTATACCAGATGTCGCGACGACTACCAAATAGCTATTTTTGTAACTAATTTGTTTTACATTGGCAGAATGCAATTTATCAAAACTACTCTAATTCCTAGTGATAACAAACAAGTCAACTAGATGGCGCTTATTACACAGATTTATAAGGATAGTGCCGGCTATTCTTTTGTTTGCGATTAGCGCCATCTACCCATATTAGGAAGCGTTAATTTATAGATTAGTTTGTAACATACAGTGCCATCTATTAACACGCATATTTGTAAAAATTTGGAAAATAACTTTAGCTCATGTATAACGAAGAGAGTATGGATTTAGTTACTATAGCTTACAAACAAATAATAAACATAACAAAAGGATTCAATTATTATGTTATAAAGGTTACTAAAAAACTACACAAAAAATTAAAAAATCAACAACAACCAAACAAAAAGTCAACCACAAAAATAAAATCAACAGCGAAACGAAATTTTGTCCAATGACTCAAAAAACATGGTGTAAAACTCAAAAGAAAAGAAAACGACTCGCATAGGTAATTGTAATGCAATTTGCACGCGTATTGACGTAAGATGCACAATAACAGATTCGATCTCTGATTCTATGATATAAATCTGTGGATAAATATTCCGTTTTACGTATGAAGTAGTTGGAGTAATTTATTTTTAACTTTATCATTTAATTTTCTATCTACTTAGTATATTGTGATTTCGACTTAAAATTTAAACTGGAACAAATGTTGTTTGATTTTAGTATATTATAACAAATTTACTATTTCTTTTCGTAACTTGGTCGTAACGCAAAAATTTGAAATGTCACAACACCCACCCTATGTGAAATTGATTTTAAATAATGTGACAACTTTACGTTTCGAGCGACATATAGTCGCGTATAGTAGAGCGGCATTATAATGTGAGAAATCTCTTTATGGGATAAGCTCGCCTTTGTACACAAATATTTAAATTGTTTCTGAAAATTTGTAAGTTACTTTGTGGTACAATAAAGTGTTTAAATAAAATAAATAAAAATGTCTTATTATTACTATGGTACAGCAGCTAGCTATTATGATCTTACTTGTATTTAGGATTGTAAGTGTCGGGGTTGTCCTTGAAGCTCTCTGGGCCGTAGACGATGGAGTCAGCCCACTTGCAACCCACAACGAAAGTGTCGCCAACGACACACCATTGCGGCTCGTTGTAGAACGCCATTACCTACAATAGACATCTCTAATAACGAAATTTATAATAATATCATAGTCTAACCAATATAACATTGAGAAGTGATGATGACATGTGGAGTAAGGTGATCACCGAATGGTGGCCAAGTGGTGGCTATAGAAACGTGATACGCCCTACATGTGCGGCAACGTGGGTGCCCGGCCTCGGAAACGTGTACATGACATGCTTCGGTCAAAATTCCTTCATGAAGGTCGACAGATGTTGAGTTGGTACTTTCAACACAAATTAATTAAAATTCGTAATTAAGAACCGAATTAAAAACAGCTCGAAATTCAGGGTAGCACTGGGTGTCACCCGTATGTATGTACTATATTTACTTACCTTATTTGGATGGAATTATACTATAACAATACGTAATAAGCATGATAAACATGGAAAATTTATAATACTAAATGACAAGAGTCATTTGTTTCAAGC